GAGGACAGGCAAAGGTAACTTTCATGATAACCTGGTCAGAGAGATGACTTACGAGAAGATGTTGTGGGCGTGAGACCCCCTGCTGAGGCGTCCCCCTCCCCTCCTGCCTCCTTAACCCTCCCCCTTTCTCACCACAACACTCACCATCACCTCCTCCTCACGGAGAAGGGGTCAAGGGGAAAGAGGATAGAGGTATACCTTCCAATACCCTTAGACATTTAATGAAGTTTATGGTGAGACTGGTTCATCTCTCAACATTTCCATACGAAGTACAGTGTTAAGTTCAATTAAGATCTTTCCTCATATTAAGAACCTTGGTAGTTTTAAGACAGATACGACCAGTTCTGAGGATTTCGTTTTGCATTGGCTCCAAAGGCCGGAGAGAATTTTCTTTAGCTAACATTAGCGTGGGCACAGCATAACCATTGTTTTCTTATGTATATCTTAGTTATATGTTTAGTGAGGTAATTAATGCATAATCTCTTCTCCTTTATTGACCTGATTTATTATCCATTTCTCTCTTGTGGTGTGTTTATGTTATTTATATTCTTTAATTATTATTATTGTAAACAGCAATCACTTTGTGACCATAAACTAAGCAGAGAGAAAGTAGCAGCTTCACCAATCTAGTTTTTTTTTTTAGCAAAATTAGATACATCAGTGTGCTGCTACACGGTGTATTTCTTAGTGTTGAAATCTTTCAGCCGGAGCTGTGGAAGAATTCAGTAAGGCAGTGAGGATACTGTCAAGTATTTCACTTAATGTTGATGAGCTGTGGCAGCTTGAAAGGTGTTCTTCCAACAGAGTTAAGTTATTATTAATTCAGAATTACCGTCTCTCACGCTGGTGTATACCAGTCACAGCAGAAAGGAAATTTTGGTAAAGCTGTTCCCACTAGCACAGAGCTGGGAAACAAAACCTGTATATTGGAGAGAAGAAAGAAGTGGTGGGGAGGGAAGGAGACGAAAAAAATGAGGTGGGAAGAGCAGTGTAAATTAAGGAGAGGAGAAGAAGAAAAGGGGGTGGGGAGAGCAGTGTAAATTTAGGAGAGAAGGAAAAAAGGGGTGGGAAGAGAAATGCAAATTAAGGAGAGAAGGAAAAAAAAGAAAGGGGTGGAGAGAAAAATGTAAACTAAGGAGAGAAGAAAGAAGGGGGTTGGGGGAGAGAAATGTAGACTACATATTATATCTAAGAATAACTCCTAGAGATATTTAAAATACGTACATTAGTATATAAACAATGCAGAGTATGTTACAATAGCATGTTGACATTTTAAAACTACAGTATATATCACCACCACCCCAGCTCAGGGATGAGATGATATACCAATATCATCTCATCCCTTACTCTCCTCACTCCGCTACTCCCCCTTCTATTCTCCAGTCATCGCACTGAATCAATATATATATATATAATTTTTAATCGTAGTATATTGGCAATTTTTCATCCACACATACTGTACTTAAAGGGTATCATCCTTCCCTTGGGATGCGTCAACCTTTAAGGATTTAAGGGGCACGTAAGTTCCCCCGTCTTCTGATAACATGTTCATTTTTCCACTGTAATTTTAAACCTTGCAGAGAACACACAGCAGGACATTTAACGGGAAAATATACCGCGCCATATTAACAATTTGGCATTTACAGAGTACAATAACAATCTAGAGGGTCTTCTAATAGCATACACTTGTGTTGAGTTGGAAGACAGGCAAAAGAGGCTTCCTCACTTTATCACACAGAAAAGAAATCCAGGAATGGTCACTGTAACATTGACGACAGGGAACCTGCACGTGTGAGCAGTTGAATCAACCTTGCTCTAGTTATTTTGGATGAGGCGTTCTCAAATTATGAGCGGAAAGTTTGGAAAAAAAAAATCTGGATACCATTTAAAGGTATCCCTTCAGTGATGCCTAAATAAAATGACCTTTCTTCTGTAACAGTCCCTCCCCAACAACACCACCTCAACCCCTCCCCACCAACACCTCAACCCCTCCCCACCAACACCACCTCAACCCCTCCCCACCAACACCACCTCAACCCCTCCCCACCAACACCACCTCAACCCCTCCCCACCAACACCACCTCAACCCCTCCCCACCAACACCACCTCAACCCCTCCCCACCAACACCACCTCAACCCCTCCCCACCAACACCACCTCAACCCCTCCCCACTGACACCACCTCAACCCCTCCCCACTGACACCACCTCAACCCCTCCCCACCAACACCACCTCAACCCCTCCCCACTGACACCACCTCAACCCCTCCCCACTGACACCACCTCAACCCCTCCCCACTGACACCACCTCAACCCCTCCCCACCAACACCACCTCAACCCCTCCCCACCAACACCACCTCAATCCCTCCCCACCAACACCACCTCAATCCCTCCCCACCAACACCACCTCAACCCCTCCCCACTGACACCACCTCAACCCCTCCCCACCAACACCACCTCAACCCCTCCCCACCAACACCACCTCAACCCCTCCCCACCAACACCACCTCAATCCCTCCCCACCAACACCACCTCAACCCCTCCCCACTGACACCACCTCAACCCCTCCCCACTGACACCACCTCAACCCCTCCCCACCAGCACCACCTCAACCCCTCCCTAACAGCGCCACCTCACCTCCCTGGCACCGCACATCACTCTGACGTTTACTACGATTTCATTGGCTTTCTTGGCTAACTTAATGAGCCAATTATGTGGTTGTGTGCGTCGCAGCTCACCCGTCCAGACATAAAGTACTATTATAGAGTTTTACACCACCTCTGATACTTACCTGTAGGCTGCCCAGGAGGAGCGCTTTTCTTTTATTACTAACTATATTATCATAGTCACGGGGGAAGCGCTGAATCCGTAGGGTAATCAGGTCTGATACTTTGAAGGGGACGGCAGCTTCACTGTTGAGATGCAGAGCCATGCATAGACGTTCTTATTGAAAGGAATGAGAAACATGAAAAACGACTCAATTAAAGGAAAAACAGGTGAGTGATACCAAAATATTACTGAAGACTAGTACCAAGAAGGCGCACACTTCATTGTAAGTGAGTTATGGATATTAGTTTGCTGATCAACGACCTATTGAGGTAGTGTTGCGACGTGGTGATTTACGAGAAGCAGCGGCTGCTCTGCTGCTGCCTTCATAAGCCACTCGTGTAGCACACGCTCCAGGCCAACTGGGATTGAACCATAATTTAAAGCTATCACTTTAGTCAGGGAGTCGGGAAGGTGGTGCACCTCATTTTGTGTTTGTTTGATCAGGCGGTGTGTGTGTTTAGCGCCACCAACCTACGCCACAACACGCTTCGTTTATTTAAAACTTTATGCGTTCAGGAGGATGAAGCAGGAATACTGGTGTAGTGAATGAAGCAGGAATACTGGTGTAGTGAATGAAGCAGGAATACTGGTGTAGTGAATGAAGCAGGAATACTGGTGTAGTGAATGAAGCAGGAATACTGGTGTAGTGAATGAAGCAGGAATACTGGTGTAGTGAATGAAGCAGGAATACTGGTGTAGTGAATGAAGCAGGAATACTGGTGTAGTGAATGAAGCAGGAATACTGGTGTAGTGAATGAAGCAGGAATACTGGTGTAGTGAATGAAGCAGGAATACTGTGTAGTGAATGAAGCAGGAATACTTGTGTAGTGAATGAAGCAGGAATACTGTGTAGTGAATGAAGCAGGAATACTTGTGTAGTGAATGAAGCAGGAATACTGGTGTAGTGAATGAAGCAGGAATACTGTGTAGTGAATGAAGCAGGAATACTGTGTAGTGAATGAAGCAGGAATACTGGTGTAGTGAATGAAGCAGGAATACTGGTGTAGTGAATGAAGCAGGAATACTTGTGTAGTGAATGAAGCAGGAATACTGGTGTAGTGAATGAAGCAGGAATACTTGTGTAGTGAATGAAGCAGGAATACTGTGTAGTGAATGAAGCAGGATACTGGTGTAGTGAATGAAGCAGGAATACTGGTGTAGTGAATGAAGCAGGATACTGGTGTAGTGAATGAAGCAGGAATACTGGTGAGTGAATGAAGCAGGAATACTGGTGTAGTGAATGAAGCAGGAATACTGGTGCAGTGAATGAAGCAGGAATACTGGTGTAGTGAATGAAGCAGGAATACTGGTGTAGTGAATGAAGCAGGAATACTGGTGTAGTGAATGAAGCAGGAATACTGGTGTAGTGAATGAAGCAGGAATACTGGTGTAGTGAATGAAGCAGGAATACTGGTGTAGTGAATGAAGCAGGAATACTGGTGTAGTGAATGAAGCAGGAATACTGGTGTAGTGAATGAAGCAGGAATACTGGTGTAGTGAATGAAGCAGGAATACTGTGTAGTGAATGAAGCAGGAATACTTGTGTAGTGAATGAAGCAGGAATACTAGTGTAGTGAATGAAGCAGGAATACTGGTGTAGTGAATGAAGCAGGAATACTGGTGTAGTGAATGAAGCAGGAATACTGGTGTAGTGAATGAAGCAGGAATACTAGTGTAGTGAATGAAGCAGGAATACTGGTGTAGTGAATGAAGCAGGAATACTGGTGTAGTGAATGAAGCAGGAATACTGGTGTAGTGAATGAAGCAGGAATACTGGTGTAGTGAATGAAGCAGGAATACTGGTGTAGTGAATGAAGCAGGAATACTGGTGTAGTGAATGAAGCAGGAATACTGGTGTAGTGAATGAAGCAGGAATACTGGTGTAGTGAATGAAGCAGGAATACTGGTGTAGTGAATGAAGCAGGAATACTGGTGTAGTGAATGAAGCAGGAATACTGTGTAGTGAATGAAGCAGGAATACTGTGTAGTGAATGAAGCAGGAATACTGTGTAGTGAATGAAGCAGGAATACTGTGTAGTGAATGAAGCAGGAATACTGGTGTAGTGAATGAAGCAGGAATACTGGTGTAGTGAATGAAGCAGGAATACTGGTGTAGTGAATGAAGCAGGAATACTGGTGTAGTGAATGAAGCAGGAATACTGGTGTAGTGAATGAAGCAGGAATACTGGTGTAGTGAATGAAGCAGGAATACTGGTGTAGTGAATGAAGCAGGAATACTGGTGTAGTGAATGAAGCAGGAATACTTGTGTAGTGAATGAAGCAGGAATACTAGTGTAGTGAATGAAGCAGGAATACTGGTGTAGTGAATGAAGCAGGAATACTGTGTAGTGAATGAAGCAGGAATACTGGTGTAGTGAATGAAGCAGGAATACTGGTGTAGTGAATGAAGCAGGAATACTGGTGTAGTGAATGAAGCAGGAATACTGGTGTAGAATAAGCAGGAATACTGGTGTAGTGAATGAAGCAGGAATACTGTGTAGTGAATGAAGCAGGAATACTAGTGTAGTGAATGAAGCAGGAATACTGGTGTAGTGAATGAAGCAGGAATACTTGTGTAGTGAATGAAGCAGGAATACTGGTGTAGTGAATGAAGCAGGAATACTGGTGTAGTGAATGAAGCAGGAATACTGGTGTAGTGAATGAAGCAGGAATACTGGTGTAGTGAATGAAGCAGGAATACTGGTGTAGTGAATGAAGCAGGAATACTGGTGTAGTGAATGAAGCAGGAATACTGGTGTAGTGAATGAAGCAGGAATACTGGTGTAGTGAATGAAGCAGGAATACTGTGTGTGATAGCAGGATACTTGTATGAATGAAGCAGGAATACTAGTGTAGTGAATGAAGCAGGAATACTGGTGTAGTGAATGAAGCAGGAATACTAGTGTAGTGAATGAAGCAGGAATACTTGTGTAGTGAATGAAGCAGGAATACTGGTGTAGTGAATGAAGCAGGAATACTGGTGTAGTGAATGAAGCAGGAATACTGGTGTAGTGAATGAAGCAGGAATACTGGTGTAGTGAATGAAGCAGGAATACTTGTGTAGTGAATGAAGCAGGAATACTAGTGTAGTGAATGAAGCAGGAATACTGGTGTAGTGAATGAAGCAGGAATACTTGTGTAGTGAATGAAGCAGGAATACTGGTGTAGTGAATGAAGCAGGAATACTGGTGTAGTGAATGAAGCAGGAATACTTGTGTAGTGAATGAAGCAGGAATACTGGTGTAGTGAATGAAGCAGGAATACTTGTGTAGTGAATGAAGCAGGAATACTGGTGTAGTGAATGAAGCAGGAATACTGGTGTAGTGAATGAAGCAGGAATACTGGTGTAGTGAATGAAGCAGGAATACTGGTGTAGTGAATGAAGCAGGAATACTGGTGTAGTGAATGAAGCAGGAATACTTGTGTAGTGAATGAAGCAGGAATACTAGTGTAGTGAATGAAGCAGGAATACTGGTGTAGTGAATGAAGCAGGAATACTTGTGTAGTGAATGAAGCAGGAATACTTGTGTAGTGAATGAAGCAGGAATACTAGTGTAGTGAATGAAGCAGGAATACTTGTGTAGTGAATGAAGCAGGAATACTGGTGTAGTGAATGAAGCAGGAATACTTGTGTAGTGAATGAAGCAGGAATACTGGTGTAGTGAATGAAGCAGGAATACTTGTGTAGTGAATGAAGCAGGAATACTAGTGTAGTGAATGAAGCAGGATTACTGGTGTAGTGAATGAAGCAGGAATACTGGTGTAGTGAATGAAGCAGGAATACTGGTGTAGTGAATGAAGCAGGAATACTGGTGTAGTGAATGAAGCAGGAATACTTGTGTAGTGAATGAAGCAGGAATACTAGTGTAGTGAATGAAGCAGGAATACTTGTGTAGTGAATGAAGCAGGAATACTGGTGTAGTGAATGAAGCAGGAATACTGGTGTAGTGAATGAAGCAGGAATACTAGTGTAGTGAATGAAGCAGGAATACTAGTGTAGTGAATGAAGCAGGAATACTAGTGTAGTGAATGAAGCAGGAATACTGGTGTAGTGAATGAAGCAGGAATACTGGTGTAGTGAATGAAGCAGGAATACTGGTGTAGTGAATGAAGCAGGAATACTTGTGTAGTGAATGAAGCAGGAATACTTGTGTAGTGAATGAAGCAGGAATACTGGTGTAGTGAATGAAGCAGGAATACTGGTGTAGTGAATGAAGCAGGAATACTAGTGTAGTGAATGAAGCAGGAATACTAGTGTAGTGAATGAAGCAGGAATACTAGTGTAGTGAATGAAGCAGGAATACTGGTGTAGTGAATGAAGCAGGAATACTGGTGTAGTGAATGAAGCAGGAATACTTGTGTAGTGAATGAAGCAGGAATACTTGTGTAGTGAATGAAGCAGGAATACTGGTGTAGTGAATGAAGCAGGAATACTGGTGTAGTGAATGAAGCAGGAATACTGGTGTAGTGAATGAAGCAGGAATACTTGTGTAGTGAATGAAGCAGGAATACTGGTGTAGTGAATGAAGCAGGAATACTGGTGTAGTGAATGAAGCAGGAATACTAGTGTAGTGAATGAAGCAGGAATACTAGTGTAGTGAATGAAGCAGGAATACTTGTGTAGTGAATGAAGCAGGAATACTGGTGTAGTGAATGAAGCAGTTTACGCTGTCTTGATTCACGTATCAGCATATACTGTCTTGATTCACTTGTCAACTTACACTGTCTTGATTCACTTGTCAACTTACACTGTCTTGATTCACTTGTCAACTTACACTGTCTTGATTCACTTGTCAACTTACACTGTCTTGATTCACTTGTCAACTTACACTGTCTTGATTCACTTGTCAACTTACACTGTCTTGATTCACTTGTCAACTTACACTGTCTTGATTCACTTGTCAACTTACACTGTCTTAACTTGTTTATCTACTTATACTTAACCCGTGTGAACTTGATTATCTACTTACACATTTAACTTAATGTGCTGAAAGTGACTTAATTTACTGTCATTTACTGTACCTTAAAAATGAGTTGTTTTATGTTTCACATAAGACAGGTGTGTGTTACCCGTGTCATATGGTAGGTAGCGCGTTACTACACCTGTTACACACGTGTCACACTAACTTACCCGCATACAGTTTTGTTACATCGTTCAGTTTACAAGTTAAGAGTTATCCTACCTCAGTTTATGTCCAAGCTTAGCACTAAGGTATACTAGTATCCCCACGGTGCCATCCACAGTAGTCAACTAACACTCAGGTGTGTACTACTAGGCGAATAGGAGCAACAGGTATATGGAGACTTATCCATTCATCTCTACTCGTCCAGGATTGAAGCTGGGTCCTGGGGGTGTGAGGTGAATGTGTTACCACCCAGATTAGAGGTACACTTATCCTGTCTCTCTTGAGTGAACCTTATTTAGTTGTATCACAACTACTTAACCATTTATATAGCCAGACGGTGTTGTTCCTCGATGATTTGTAACTGTCAACATTGCTGAGTGCTCACACCAGATACTGAGAAACTCAACTTAATGCAGAGGCTACATACACACTTAGCTAACTTTAGGTAAAAGAGAAGGGCAGACTGTCCTTATAACTGGGTATATATAAGATATACCAAGTGTGTGTTCATCTGTTCATGTATGGTATACAATACCGTAGTCTTGAAGACTACGGTACTCTCCACCAACTACAAGGCTGAGGGACTGATTATCTTATCTTTTGTATATAGTTCTACTGTCTTCACATTCTGTTCTTGAATTTGTATCGCTAAGGCACTGGTTGGCGAAACTTTACAGTAAAGATACCCAAATGCTGCACATATGTCTAATTCTTCATCGTGTGTTCATCTCAGTGTATATACACTGAGAGCTAAAATATACATCAAGCAAGACGTGTATATCTTTGTATACAGCATCCAGAAGTTATCATTACTTGTTGTAGTCCTCGCATCTTTGGTCGATTACTCTTAAGTTCAGATCTTCATAACTTACAACCACTGTACGCTTTAAATAACTCAACTAAGTTCATGAAGCTCTTGTGAAAATGTAAATTACTCTGAATCCTCGTTGTAAATGAAGGTTATTGAGGGAATAATGTGTTTATAGGTTGTATACCTGTTTTCTCTTAACTTTCGTGTTTATCATGAGAAGTCTTTCTTCCTTCTTCCTGTTTCCTCAGTCATTGTTTGTTCGTTTGTATCTTCTCCTACCTACCTTCCTTCCGTCCTTCCTTCCTTCTCAATAATTATCTCGTGTGTTTTTGTATTCTGCCTCCTTCCTTTATTTTTAAATTATTCTAATTGTTTTCAGTTGTTAATTAAGGTACCTGTTGTTTACAGTTGTGAGAGTCGTCCAGGACCTGGCTACGTGTTGCGTTCTTACACCTTCCACCATGATGGTACCTTCTATCTGCTGCTACACACCTACCATGACGCCTCCTGCGCCCACCCCGCCCACACCCTGGTGGCCCACGGCCGCCTCACCCTGGGGCGCCCATCATGGGTCACCCCCGGGGGTACTGAGGCGGAGTACACACTGTCAAGGTAATATTATCAATAATACTTTCCCTCTGGTCCGGGACTGAGCTGCGGGGGGGGGGGACCCCTGCAAGCATCCTCCGGTATTTACTCTGTAGTGGATATGTATTTCCTGTGTTTGTGTGTGTACTGTAGTGGGTATGTGTGTATTTCCTGTGTACGTGTGTATTGTAGTATGTCTGTATTTCCCATGTATATGTGTGTACTGTAGTGAGTATGTGAGTATTTCCCATGTATGTATGTGTGGGTGTATATGTAGTAGGGTGTCTGTATATGTGTTTGTAATGTAGCGGGTGGGTGTATTTCCCATGTATGTATGTATGCGTGTGTGTACTGTAGTGGATGTATATGTATGTGTGTTTGTAATGTAGTGGGTATGTGTGTATTTCCCATGTATCTGTATTATAATGGTTACGTGTGTATTTCACCTTGTGTGTTTGCTGTAGTGGGTATGCGTGTATTTTCCGTGTATGTGAGAGTACTCTAGTGCTACGGGGTACATATGTATTTTCCCTGTATGTCCATGTACTGAAGTGGGTATGGGTATATTTCCCTTGTATTTCCTGGGGTACATGTACTTAAAGCACTCTACACTGCCCTTGGTTCCTCCCTCCCCTCTGCTGCCATCTCCTGAATTTCATCCTGATTCCCTGTGCCCTTGGAACTGGTGCCATCCTGACTTGTGGCTCTCCCACAGGGTGGAGGTTGTGCCACACACTCACAGAGATGCTGCCCTCGTAGCCGCTGTTGTCAACGCCTCGTGCCCCGGCAAGGTCATTAAGGTCAGTATTACCTGAGGGGAGACATGATTACGACATACAAAATCTTAAAAATAACTGCTAGGGCAGATAGGGACAGGCAGAATTAAGAGGACAAGGATCAAGGGGCCACAGACATACTCATGAATGAATGAAAATGGAATGACTTGGATGAGTTAGTTCTGGAGGCCCAAGAGGCTAGAAGTCAGCAGTGCCGATGAAAGTAGTCTAGGAGGCGGGGGCCAGGAGCTAAGTCTCCACCCTTGCAAACACAACTAGGTACTTACCTATATGTGGTTGCTGGGGTCGAGTCTCAGCTCAGCGAATATCCATACACATGCGTACGCAGATATGCATACACACGTGCGCACACATATATGTGTACGTACACATGTATATGCACACATGCGCTCACACATACTGGTAACCTACACCGCAGCATTCTCAACACAGGTCACTAATTGGCACTCGAATGATTGACGACCAGCAGTCAGCCAGCTGGGTTTTTATACGCATCTTTGTACAGCTTGGCTGTGTTCTCTTGACCTGCCTGCCTGCCTTCCTTGCTCTGTGTGTCTTCCTTCCTAGCTGTCTATCTGTCTTTCTTCCTTGCTCTCTGTCTGCCCGCCTTCCTTCCTTGCCCTCTGTCCGCTTTTCTAAATCTGTCTACCTGCTTTACCCTCTGCTTTTCTATGCCTGCCTGTCTCACCCTGTCTGCCGGTTTGCGTTTACATCTGTCTGTCTGCCTTCCTGCGTATCTACATGGCTCTGTCTGCCTGCTTGTCTTTCTGGGGATCAGACTTCTTTCTGGCAATCTAAATTTCTGCCTATCTGCCTACCCGGGTTTCTGACTGCATATCTCTACGTCTGCTTACTTTCCTGCCTGATAACTTATTTCCTCACCTACCTACCTGTCTGCTTGCCTGTGTTTGCTGGTCTGCCTGTGAATAAGCAGGCACAAAGGAAGAGAGAGAGAGAGACTGCTGGGATACTCGTCTCTTGCTTCTAACAATCTCGTCTATCTCAACTATTTCTGGAGGCTTTTACCTTCTGGATTCCAGGTGAATATCTGCGTCCCTGCTCACTCATCCAGCACCAGGGTACACTGCGCGTGTGTGCGGGTGCGTGTGTGCGTGTGCGTGTGCGTGCGTGTGTGTGTGTGTGCGTGTGTGTGTGTGTGTGTGTGTGTGTGTGTGTGTGTGTGTGTGTGTGTGTGTGTGTGTGTGTGTGTGTGTGTGACATCACTTGGCTATATAACTGGTGTGCCCATCGCACTTGTTATCTTAGAATTTAAAAGCGATACCTAACACCTTTATGGCTCAGTTGTGTGTTTCTCCATCTGCACTGCCTTACTTGACTGACACCATCTATACTGCCTTGCTTGACTGACACCATCTATACTGCCTTGCTTGACTGACACCATCTATACTGCCTTGCTTGACTGACACCACATACTCTGTGACTGCCTTGCCTTGACTGACACCATCTATACTGCCTTGCTTGACTGACACCATCTATACTGCCTTGCTTGACTGACACCATCTATACTGCCTTGCTTGACTGACACCATCTATACTGCCTTGCTTGACTGACACCATCTATACTGCCTTGCTTGACTGACACCATCTATACTGCCTTGCTTGACTGACACCATCTATACTGCCTTGCTTGACTGACACCATCTATACTGCCTTGCTTGACTGACACCATCTGCACTGCCTTGCTTGACTGACACCATCTGTACTGCCTTGCTTGACTGACACCATCTGCACTGCCTTGCTTGACTGACACCATCTGTACTGCCTTGCTTGACTGACACCATCTGTACTGCCTTGCTTGACTGACACCATCTGTACTGCCTTGCTTGACTGAACCATCTACTGCCTTGCTTGACTGTCACCATCTGTACTGCCTTGCTTGACTGTCACCATCTGTACTGCCTTGCTTGACTGACACCATCTGTACTGCCTTGCTTGACTGACACCATCTGCACTGCCTTGCTTGACTGTCACCATCTGTACTGCCTTGCTTGACTGACACCATCTATACTGCCTTGCTTGACTGACACCATCTGTACTGCCTTGCTTGACTGTCACCATCTGTACTGCCTTGCTTGACTGTCACCATCTGTACTGCCTTGCTTGACTGACACCATCTATACTGCCTTGCTTGACTGTCACCATCTGTACTGCCTTGCTTGACTGACACCATCTGTACTGCCTTGCTTGACTGACACCATCTATACTGCCTTGCTTGACTGACACCATCTATACTGCCTTGCTTGACTGACACCATCTATACTGCCTTGCTTGACTGACACCATCTATACTGCCTTGCTTGACTGACACCATCTATACTGCCTTGCTTGACTGACACCATCTATACTGCCTTGCTTGACTGACACCATCTATACTGCCTTGCTTGACTGACACCATCTTACTGCCTTGCTTGACTGACACCATCTGTACTGCCTTGCTTGACTGACACCATCTTACTGCCTTGCTTGACTGTCACCATCTGTACTGCCTTGCTTGACTGCACCATCTGTACTGCCTTGCTTGACTGTCACCTTCTTGTACTGCCTTGCTTGACTGATCACCATCTGTACTGCCTTGCTTGACTGTCCCATCTGTACTGCCTTGCTTGACTGACACCATCTGTACTGCTTGCTTGACTGACACCATCTTACTGCCTTGCTTGACTGTCACCATCTGTACTGCCTTGCTGACTGACACCATCTATACTGCCTTGCTTGACTGACACCATCTATACTGCCTTGCTTGACTGTCACCATCTGTACTGCCTTGCTTGACTGTCACCATCTGTACTGCCTGCTTGACTGTCACCATCTGTACTGCCTGCTTGACTGACACATCTATACTGCCTTGCTTGACTGCACCATCTGTACTGCCTTGCTTGACTGACACCATCTGTACTGCCTTGCTTGACTGACACCATCTATACTGCCTTGCTTGACTGACACCATCTATACTGCCTTGCTTGACTGACACCATCTATACGCCTTGCTTGACTGACACCATCTATACTGCCTTGCTTGACTGACACCATCTATACTGCCTTGCTTGACTGCACCATCTATACTGCCTTGCTTGACTGACACCATCTTTACTGCCTTACTTGACTGACACCATCTATACTGCCTTGCTTGACTGACACCATCTTACTGCCTTGCTTGACTGCACCATCTATACTGCCTTGCTTGACTGCACCATCTATACTGCCTACTTGACTGACACCATCTATACTGCCTTGCTGACTGACACCATCTATACTGCCTTGCTTGACTGACACCATCTATACTGCCTTGCTTGACTGACACCATCTATACTGCCTTGCTTGACTGACACCATCTATACTGCCTTGCTTGACTGACACCATCTATACTGCCTTACTTGACTGACACCATCTGCACTGCCTTGCTTGACTGACACCATCTATACTGCCTTACTTGACTGACACCATCTATACTGCCTTGCTTGACTGACACCATCTGCACTGCCTTGCTTGACTGACACCATCTTATTGCCTTACTTGACTGAACCATCTATACTGCCTTCTTGACTGACACCATCTATACTGCCTTGCTTGACTGACACCATCTGTACTGCCTTGCTTGACTGACACCATCTGCACTGCCTTGCTTGACTGACACCATCTATACTGCCTTACTTGACTGACACCATCTATACTGCTTGCTTGACTGACACCATCTGCACTGCCTTGCTTGACTGACACCATCTATACTGCCTTACTTGACTGACACCATCTATACTGCCTTACTTGACTGACACCATCTATACTGCCTTGCTTGACTGACACCATCTATACTGCCTTACTTGACTGACACCATCTTTACTGCCTTGCTTGACTGACACCATCTTTACTGCCTTGCTTGACTGTCACCATCTGCACTGCCTTGCTTGACTGACACCATCTATACTGCCTTGCTTGACTGACACCATCTATACTGCCTTGCTTGACTGACACCATCTATACTGCCTTGCTTGACTGACACCATCTATACTGCCTTGCTTGACTGACACCATCTTTACTGCCTTGCTTGACTGACACCATCTTTACTGCCTTGCTTGACTGTCACCATCTGCACTGCCTTGCTTGACTGTCACCATCTGCACTGCCTTGCTTGACTGACACCATCTATACTACCTTACTTGACTGACACCATCTTCACTGCCTTACTTGACTGACACCTTCTTTACTGCCTTGCTTGACTGACACCATCTGTACTGCCTTAGTTGACTGTCACCATCTGTACTGCCTTACTTGACTGTCACCATCTGTACTGCCTTACTTGACTGACACCATCTGTACTCCCTCGACTGACTCCATCTATACTCCATCTTCCTGGACGTCTTCTTACACAAATGTCAGGGAAGGGCTCCTTCTGGTGGACTGGCTTGACGCTGCTTTATCACTACCACATGTTACACTACATTACAAACATACAAGACAGACAGTCTTTGATGACATCTTGTCTTATTGGGTTATCCGGGGTTACTAATCCTCTGAGTTAATAACCCAAGCACAATCTTCAACAGCAAGTAGTGTATATGAGAGTACATTGTAAAGACAATTTGCAAAGCACTCAAAGGTCCACCTCGATGCAGAATCTCCCTAAAACACTGTGTCATCAGCAGAAAGCAACTGTGACAACTCCCATTTTGTGTTAGATTCTTTATCTTTTAATCCCACACCTCTTGCCAACACTGAGATCATTCACTTCTCTTACAACCCCATCTATAAATACGTATATTGAACATTCATAAGGAAAACTACCTACTTCTATCTAGATTAAGTGCTATTGTGCATAGTCTAGGCGTACGAGTCAAGGATAGAAAAGCAGAAGGTTCTCTCGTTATATGGTACCTTGACGGGTGTCTACAAGTGCGTGATGATCTGGGAAACACCTGGTTCTGTGATGTACTGCAGTCATTGTGTAATGTCAGTCAACTGTGGTGCTCTAATAGGCTTTGTAAGACAGGACTTATGATTCTTGCACCCCTTCACCTGGACACTTTCCAGTGGGTGGGGAGTCTGACAGCTTCCAGTAGTTGATGAGTGGCGGGGGACTGTATGGACGGATTCCAGTGGCTGATGGGTGGGGTGGGTGTGGGATGGGAGGGGTGGGTTGTGGTGAGAGGACGGGAGTCATCATCAGCCTCAGATGGAAGTCTCGTGTTGGTTATTAGGGCGGGTGTGGACGCCTCTCCCTCCCGCCAACCCTCCCTACCCCGCCCCCACTCTTCTTTGTCTGCTCATGATTGTCGCAGTCCGTTCCTGTCCTTGCCTATCAGTCCCTGTCCGTGACCACCGTTCTCGTCCGTAGCTCTGAAAATAAATCTGGATGGAGGCGTAGAGCAGGAATTGATATTGTTGTCCACCTTAACTGAGCATAATGTATCAGTGGTCACTATGTCAACAAGGTGAGGGTTGTCCACCTTAACTGAGCATAATGTGTCAGTGGTCACTATGTCAACAAGGTGAGGGTTGTCCACCTTAACTGAGCATAATGTGTCAATAGTCACTATGTCAACAATTGAATACATCGGTAGTATGATGGTACTGTATTCTGTTTGATGGTTTCCTAGTGGGAACAGGTGACTATTATGTTCCTCCGCATCCAAGGAACTGGCTCTACTTTCACTTAAATTAGACCTCATTACGAATCATTTCCATGGCTTTATATGAATATAATTTCTTGTCATTTGCTCTTAAGAGACTTAGTCCATGCTGTTTGCTCTCTCTGGTACCCTTGATCCATCATCCACAGACTGGTTCCACTACCAGGCAATACTAACTTAAATTCATTATCCATAACGTGGAATGATGTGTCATTCGTACAGCTTAAGTAGTACCTGTCTTGCGCATACCAGTATGTAATACCTGTCTTGCGCATACCAGTAAGTAGTACCTGTCTTACGCATACCAGTATGTAATACCTGTCTTGCGCATACCAGTAAGTAGTACCTGTCTTACGCATACCAGTAAGTAGTACCTGTCTTACGCATACCAGTAAGTAATACCTGTCTTGCGCATACCAGTAAGTAGTACCTGTCTTGCGCATACCAGTATGTAATACCTGTCTTGCGCATACCAGTAAGTAGTACCTGTCTTGCGCATACCAGTATGTAATACCTGTCTTGCGCATACCAGTAAGTAGTACCTGTCTTGCGCATACTAGTATGTAATACCTGTCTTGCGCATACCAGTATGTAATACCTGTCTTACGCATACCAGTAAGTAATACCTGTCTTGCGCATACCAGTAAGTAGTACCTGTCTTGCGCATACCAGTAATACCTGTCTTGCGCATACCAGTAAGTAGTACCTGTCTTACGCATACCAGTATGTAATACCTGTCTTGCGCATACCAGTAAGTAGTACCTGTCTTACGCATACCAGTAAGTAGTACCTGTCTTACGCATACCAGTATGTAATACCTGTCTTGCGCATACCAGTAAGTAGTACCTGTCTTACGCATACCAGTAAGTAGTACCTGTCTTACGCATACCAGTAAGTAGTACCTGTCTTACGCATACCAATATGTAATACCTGTCTTACGCATACCAGTAAGTAGTACCTGTCTTACGCATACCAGTAAGTAGTACCTGTCTTACGCATACCAGTAAATAGTACCTGTCTTGCGCATACCAGTAAGTAGTACCTGTCTTACGCATACCAATAAGTAGTACCTGTCTTACGCATACCAGTATGTAATACCTGTCTTACGCATACCAGTAAGTAATACCTGTCTTACGCATACCAGTAAATAGTACCTGTCTTGCGCATACCAGTAAGCATTCACCACTTTCATTTTTGTTATATATGTAATGTCGTGTCGAATAGGTAAAATTGGTCAATTAGCAAGAACTCATTTAATATTAAATCCTTTCTAAAATTTTCTCTTATACGTTTAAAGATACATTTTTTCATTTATGGTAATGTAAAAATTAATAATTTTGTACCAAAAGAACCTTGGAAAACTTTCCTAACCTTATTATAACAAGCGCAATTTAATTTAGCCTAATCCAACTAAATATATTTTAGATAAGTTTACAATAATTTAATAATAAACAACACAGTGAAATATTTTTTTTTTCGTTAGGTTCAGAATGATTTTTGCGAAATTATTGCATACACACTTAGCGCTTCTTTTTGATTATAATAATAATAATAATTGCATACACAAATTTTTACTTGTTTATTCGGCAAGAAGAGCGTTGCTATTTAAGCCAAAATTGTAAGTTTTACTTATTCGACGATTTTGGCTTTAAATAGCAACGTTCTTCTTGCCGAATAAGGCAAACGAAAATTTGTGTATGCAATAATTTCGCAAAAATCATTCTGATCCTAACGGAAAAAAATATATTTCACTGTGTTTGTTTATTATTAAATTATTGTAAACTTATCTAAAATATATTTAGTTGGATTAGGCTAAATTAAATTGCGCTTGATATAATAAAGTTCGGTAAGTTTTCTAAGATTCTTTTGGTACAAAATTATTAATTTATACATGAACATAAGTGAAAAAAATATATATCTTTAAATGTATAAGAGAAAAATTTAGGACGGACTTAATTTTAAATGAGTTCTTGCTAACTAACCAGTTTTACCCTATTCAGCACGACACACACACACACACACACACACACACACACACACACACACACACACACACACACACACACACCACACACACACACACATCTGTATAATATATATATATATTATAATTATATATATATATATATATATATATATATATATATATATATATATATATATATATATATTATAATTTTATTACCCATGAGGTCATTGTAGAGTTGACTCCTTTGTGGAGTTCAGTTTGTGCTGGTTATTTTGGCTTGTGGTGAGTAACCGCCTCATTCATGCTAAGGAGATAATCATCTTTCTTTTACTGGCTTGTTACTTTGTTCTTAAACTTTTTTTTCATCTTTTGTTAATATTGCATTTTCAGTTACTTCTTTGGGGGTTAATACATTAAGTTATAATGCATATATGTTTCACGATGACAGTGATTTAGTTAGCTCCTAACGTTTGTAACAATATTAACTGACTCTTGCATCTCTCCCTCAGCCGTGGAAACCACACAAGCCTCACACGGTGCTCTCCTACACGGAGACCGCCAACGAGGTGACTGAAGACGATGACTGTGGCAGAGGTCTGGGAGGAGCCTGGCATGAACTACAACTGGTGAGGGTGGAGATCACAGCGCCCATACACCAGCATCACCAACAACACTCTGACAACCCCTCCACCACCACCTCCTCCATGAACCACCCACAAACTGACGACTCTCCCTCCACCCCCTCAATGCATCAACACCATCCACACGACAGCAGCAACCCCTCTTCCATCAATCAACAACGTCCACACGACAGTGGTAACCCCTCCACCTCCATGCACCACAATGACGGCTACCCCTCCACCTCCCCCTCCATGACGGGAGGCAGCAAGAAGCTCTTCCTGGGAGACCTCCACACAAACATCAACAAGCAAGAGCACTACCGCCCCACAGGTTACCAACAGCCTCTCCTCAACGCCAGATATGTAAGTACTCAATACATCTCATGTGTTATCACGCTATCTTCGGCAGGATTCGTGTGTAAATGCCTCAACTTTTGACCGACCGATATATGGCCTTTACATATCTACCTTTGAGCCCCTGAATGGGTCACCCAGAACTGACTGACTGGGTCGACTACACGAGGCTGGATGGTCCAAAAAATCAGAGTGGTTAACTGTAATTGTTATAATTACTTGGATAAACCATACCACGGGCGGGATTTGAACCCGCGGTCAGAGAGTCTGGAGTTTTGAGACACTGACCGCGAGTTCAAATCCCGCCCGTGGTATGGTTTGTTTGCAATCGTGTCATTACGAATTACTTGGATACCTGTAAATACCTCGGGGAAATTTGAAGGAAGGTTATTTTAGTGTGTGTTTCTTAGTGTGATCAGTTGTAAGTGTGAAAGATAGTTTAACTTGAGTGTTAGTGTGCATGTTTGTATATATCATTTAGACTAGAGTACTGAATGTAAACAGCAGCATCCAGGGAGGTACTACAATCCTGTTAGAGGAGTGGGAAGTGGAAACCTGTTCAATTTTTTGCTCTCTAACAGGAGCTCTGGTCTTTTCTTTCTTGTGAACACGTGAGATGACAGGCAAATCTTAAAGGTCCACTTACATTCAATGTACTTTCCAATATTCTTCTAAATAGTTTTTAATCCTCAAGTCAGCGCTGTATGACTCTTGTGGGTTTAACGGTTAGTTATAATAATCCTGCAGTATTTCCTTAAAATCCCAAGAGATCTTTACTTATCAAATAATAACTAGGACCCCCCATCGTGTATACTACAAACTCCCATCACACAAATAGACGGAAAAGTAATGTGAAGGACCTGGGTGTGGTAATGTCCGAAGACCTCACCTTCAAGGGACCACAACAATGCCAATATCACATCTGCTAGGAAACTGATAGGATGGTATAATGAGAACATTCAAGACAAGAGGATGCTAAGCCAATGATGACCTATTTAAATCAACTTATTCTCTCTAGCTGGAATATTGATGTACCTTAACATCCCCATTCAAGGCAGGTGAAAAATTGCAGAGCTAGAGAATGTACAGAGAAACCTTTACTGCCGCGCGTATAAAGTTCATCAAACACCTCTAACTACTGGGAGCGCTGGAAGCACTTACTTGTACTCACTAGAGCGCAGGCCGAGTGAGAGATATCATAAATCTACAACCTGGAAGATTCTGGAGGGACTGGTCCCAATATTTCACACAGCAATCACTCCATACGAAAATCAGAAGACCTTGGCAGGCGATGCTACATACCCCCAGTGAAAAGTTAGGGGCGTGTCACTTGGTACACTTAAGAGAATAAACAAAAATAAGTGTCCTGGGCCAAGACCTGTTCAAAAGCCTCCCACCAGCAATAAGGGCACTTACGGGAGACCCCTGGTTGTCCTTCAAGAGGGAGCTGGACAGATACCCCAAAGACGGTGCCGGGCTGTGGGTTCATACGTTTTGGATTGCGTGCGGCCAGCAGTAACAGCCTCGTTGATCAGGCCCTGATTCTACCGGATGCAGGTCTGGTCGTGGACCGGGCTGCGGGGGCGTTGATCCCTGGAATTCCCTCCAGGTAGACTATAGGTATATATACTACTCATACTGTGTGATGGTATATGACAGCCAGACCCATACTGTGAGACGGTATATGACAGTCAGTCCATACTGTGTGATGGTGTATGACAGCCTGACCGTAATACTGTCGTGGACGGTATTATGACAGCCAGGACCTATACTGTGTGATGGTGTATACAGCCAGACCCGTAACGCATGTGTGATGGTATATGACAGCCAGGACCCATACTGTGTGATGGATATGACAGCCAAGACCTTATACTGTTGTGATGGTGTATGACAACCTAGACCCATACGATTGTGAAGGTATTATGACAGCCCAGAATACCCATACTGTGTGACGGTTATGACAGCCTAGACCATACTGTGTGATGGTATATGACAGCCAGACCTATACTGTGTGATGGTGTATGACAGCCGGGACCCATATGTGTGATGGTATATGACAGCCAGACCATACTGTGGGACTGTATATGCAGCCAGACCCATACTGTGTGACGGTAATGACAGCCCAACCCATACTGTGTGATGGGATATGACAGCCAGACCCATACTGTGTGATGGTATATGACAGTCAGACCCATACTGTGATGATGGTATATGACAGCAGGACCAATACTGTGTGATGGTATATGACCAGCAGACCCATTACCGTGTGATGTATATGGACAGGCAGACCCATACTGTGTGATGGATATGACAGCCAGACCCATACTGTGTGTATGGTATATGACAGGGACCCATACTGTGTGAATGATGGTATATGACAGCCAGACCATACTGTGTGATGTATATGCACAGCCAGAACCCATACTGTGTGATGGATTTGACAGCCAGACCCATACTGTGTAATGGTATATGACAGGCAGACATACTGTGTGATGGTATTTTTTATGAACAGCCAGACCCATACTGTGTCAATTAATGGTATATGAAGGCAGGACCCTACTGTGTAATGGTATATGACAGGCAGTCCCATATTGTGTAATGGTATATGTCAGGCAGGACCATACTGTGTAATGGTATATGCAGGCCAGACCCATACTGTGTAATGGTATATGGACAGCCAGGACCAATACTGTGTAATGGTATATGACAGGCAGACCCATACTGTGTAATGGTATATGACAGCCAGACCCATACTGTGTAATGGGATATGTCAGCACAGACCCATATTGTGTAATGGTATATGACAGGCAGGACCCATACTGTGTAATGGTATATGACAGGCAGACCCATACTGTGTAATGGTATTTGGACAGCCAGACCCATACTGTGATAATGGTATATATGACAGGCAGACCTCCATACTGTGTATTGGTTATATGAAGCCAGACCCCATATGGTGTATAATGGTATATGACAGCCAGACCCATCTTGATTATGGTATATGACAGCCAGGACCCCATCATTACTGTTGTAATGGTATATGAAGGCAGACCCCATACGTGTTACTGGTATTATGACAGGGCAGACCCATACTGTTGTGATGGTATATGACAGCCAGACCCATACCGTGTGATGGGTATTGACAGGGCAGACCCACATACTGTGTGATGGTTATATGACATGCAGACCCATACTGTGTGATGGTTATACATCTAAGTGACTATAAATAGGAAGCGAAGTCTGTTCGCGCTAAGCAAGACGGAGGATCGAGGCCTCCACCACGTCTTGCGCTTAATGACTCACATGGTTTTAGCGCTTAACGTGAATTATTTTTTTTTAATTGATGGTATATTATAGGGAAAACAGCTAGCTATTGTCCCCACTTTGTAAGTTTTATAGAGGGTAGGTTAGCAACACAGTGCGGATGTACACCAATCATATACTCGGGCCCCACTCCTATGAAAGCCATAACATTCACCCCCCCCCCCCTCCTTTATATCCCTCCTCGACACACACAGGGGTCCAAGTTTGTGTGCCAGGGAGGGCAAGCTGCCCTCCCCTGCCTCTGCCTATTCCAACCCTCCCGCTCCTCTCCCCTCCCGTCCCCCGCTCATCCCCACCGTCCCGCTCATCCCGCCCGTCCTCCCCCGCTCATCCCCGCCGTCACCCGACTCATCCCGCCCTTTTTCCCCCAACCCCTCCCCTCCCCCTGCTCATCCCTCCCTGCAGAGACTTGGTTTGGGAATCCTGAGAGATAAATAAAGAAGCTTGGGAACATATCATAAATGGCCGTGGCTTATCCCCCCCCCCTCCCATATACATGGAATTCTTTTTTTATTTTCTCTGCCATAACTTACGACGCGGACACAGCAGCGACAGTTATTTCAGCTCGTTAAAAAGACATAAATTTGTATGTGGGGAGGAGGGAAGAGGACGGGGAGGGGGGGGGGAGTGGCTTTGAGACAGGCCCAGTGGGCGGTGGGGGTGGGGGGGTGAGGGGTATAGTGTTTATCTCTGGCTAAGAGGAATGGGTAGGAAAATAGGGAGGGTGGGGAGGGAGTAGGATTAATGGAGGGGGAAGGGGGGGCAGGATAAAGGAAGGGGAGAGTGTTAGGATGGAGGACTCACCTCCCCACTAGCCCCAGAGGTGGAGTGGCCAACACAAGTTCTCAAGTTTGTAATGGATGAGCGGGGCCTTTGTTGTCCTCAGTGGTAGTGGGCAGCTAGCCAAACTACATGAACTGCCAGTGAAGAGGGAGACAGTGACACACGGGCGAGGAGTACCCACACAGAGAGGCAACAAGGAAAGATTGCTAGGCACAGATGAGAAGGGAACCAAAGCAGTGACAGAAGCAAGAAGGTTGGCTGGTGACGAGGTGAAAGGAAAAAGAGGGATGAGTGAGCACAGATGAGAGGATGCAGGAATTGACAGAGGGAAAGAGGAGGGGGTAGACACTGATGAGAAGCAAGGTATAGCAGGCAGGGCAGGCGAGGCGGGCGGGCAGGTAATGGGCAGGCAGGCGGGCGGGCAGGAAAGGCAGGCGGGGCAAGCAGGAGGGTAAGCGGGCAGGAAAAGCAGGCGGGTGGGGTAGGGCAGGCATGCCAGGCAGGCAAGGGCGGACGAGCGAGCAGGCAGGCGGGCAGGCAGGCATTACAAGACATGCAGGCAGGCGGACAGGCAGGCGGGCGGGCGGGCTGGCAGGCAGTCGGGCAAGCAAGCAAGCAAGCAGGCAGACAGCAGGCAGGCAGGCAGGCAGGCGGCAGGCAGGAGAGAATGAACTGAGGTCAGTTGGGTACAATGAATTAAAAGGTTAGAGCAGGCGGGAGGAGTGTGTTTGTTCACTGCTGGAGAAGGAAGGGGAAAAAGAATCCAAAACACTAAATAAGACTTAAACCCCAACCAAACTTCAGGGAGGAAAGATCTTTTCCTCTTTTGTTGGATGAAATTAAAGGAGGATGAAAGGGGTATGAATGGTGGTGGTGGGAGGATATTGTGAGCATTGTAGCAGAGTGGGATGAGAGAGGAGAGATGAGGAGATGAGAGAGAGAGAGATGGAGCGAGTAGAGAGAGAGAGGACGAGAGA